TATGTGGAATTTCAAGTTGAGTAAAAAGAATAGTTTTGAATTTCTAATGGTGGGGTACCTCTTCTAATTTTCTAAGACTAGTCAATAGGAAAGTCCTATGGCTAGACCTAGGCTACTAAAGAAGTTTTCTAGACCTCAACCAAAAGTGAGGTCAACAGGCTCCTCCATTAACCATTACCAAACTGTCTGTCATTTCTATGGCCATGATCTCCTTTTCCTACTTGAAGCACTTCCATCCTTCTTTGCACATTTCCATCATTTTAACCACTGTCTTGACTTTGTTTTCCGGCAAGATTTCGTCGTCGGGTTGTGGATGAGCCGAAGAGGCAAGGGTAACGTAATAGCGGGGTGGGGGGTGGGGGCGTGCGCAGTTGAACCCTGGACCTAACCTTAATTTGTCTCTGCATGTATCAAACCTTGAAGAGATCGACTTCTTGATATTGTTGAGGAAGGATTTCTTTATGATGGGAGTGTTGAGGAAACATTATTTGTGAAGTTGTCTCATAGTTTATAAAAGGTTCTCACAGACTTAATGTTTAAATGAAACATTGGATAACAAACTCATCGCAATCATGTCTAGGTTGTCAACGTGAATGACATTTGGAGATTTCTTTGAAGGTTTCCTTATAGATTTTGTGTCTGAATAGGATGCGGGAAGACTATCCCACTACAATAGTGCCCGGGCATTGACATGAATGACCTTCAAGACCAAGTTGAAGGTTGCCCCCCACATTAAAGAATGTTTAAGAAATGATCTTCAAGTGGTGCAAAAGAAGTTCATTTGCCAATTAGACGATGTATATCATTATGAAACAAAGTAGAGGCTAGGAGTTTCATAATTGAAGACAGTGTCGAACGAGATTTTGTTTCCCACAAACAGTGTCAAAATGATGCGTGTCAAAAGGCCTATGTTAGTCAAGTAATGAAATATCATATTAGTGTTGCATGAAAACTGAACATATAATCAATTAATTAAAGAGAAGTAAGTAGAAAGAACCACCTTGATTTTTATATGGAAAACCCTTGAAATGGTAAAATCATGAGTCCTAGCCCAGTTAAAATATCCACTATGAATCTTGAGTACAAATGTCCACCCTTCTCTTGAAATAGGGAAGATAGAATTACAAAGAAAATTATTGTAAATGTACGACAATAGTTCATTGATAATAGACATAAACTGGCTATAATAAATGTATCTCTCGATGATGAAAAATTATAATAACTGTAGTCGATTGTTATGAAAGCAATAGTCCACCGTGAATGTTGTAGATGATGGTTGTAGTGTCATTCTATTGTATATGTCGTAAAGAAAAGCCATGATAGTAGTTGGTTGTGTAAGCAGCAGATGGTTGCTTCAGAAATATTGGTTGGTCACAGAGATTGAAGTTGGGAGCTGCAAGAGTTGTGAGCCACATAGGTCGTAGTGGTGAGTTGTGATAACGTATGCATGCCACAGAAACCGGAGCAGGAGCTGCACGAGTTGTGGAGTAAGCAGGTCAAAGTGATAAGTTGCGATGACATTCAAAAGCTACAAGAGTTGTGGACCATGTAGTGATAAGTTGTGATGACATTCAGGGGTTAGAGTCAAGAGCTGCATAAGTTGTGAACCACGTAGGTCGTAATGGTGAGCTTTGATAATATTCATAGGCTGCAAAGGTCAATGTTGGGAGTTGCATGAGTTGTGAAAAACATAAGCCATAATGATGGTTCATGATAACATATGTAAGCCGCAAGGCAGGAGTCCGGAGCTACACGGGCTATGGACCACATAAGTCGTAGTTGCGGGATGCAATGAGAGTGTTTTAGAAGTCAAGAGAAAGTCACCATCTTCAGGGTTCATTTTATACCGTCTTCAGAAGGCATCATTGCATATATGTAGAGTTCATTTTTATAACCTCATTAAAGGGTACTGTTGAATCATATCGCTACACCGTTGGGAGGCACCGTTGCACTGTATGTGGGGTGTGTTGTTGTGCAAGATGTTTTGTTACTCTGCAATGTAATTCAAGATTCCGCTGTGCACGTCATAGTTCTGCAAGAGGTTCCATTGCAATGAGTCAGGGGCGGCCAACGATAGTCAACGATGCTCGGTGGGCAATGATTTGCAATGGCTGGTGACTGCATGAGTGGGAGGTATTCGTTGGATATGCAGTGCAGAAGTAATCTTAGAATTCAAATCCACCTCCAAGCTTTAGTCTTCTTCTGGCTCAAGGTCTCCCCCAACCCCATCTCAAGAGGTGGGCAGAACTTTATTTATAGTTTGTGATCTCTATACTATTAAGAAAAGAATTCAGACCACTTCATAAGATGACCCGGAGATATTCTCTCAATTGGACGGCGTTCGGTAAACATTCGAGTGCTTTAATAATATTAAAATTGAGCAATTTTGGACTTGTTAGATTCAACTCACCAGGACACTCAATTTGACTATAAACAAGTCAGATTTAGAATTTGTTTTACCTTCCACTTATGATCTTAAAGCTTCCAAATGTAGTTGAACTGTTTGATATGAACTTGATTTGACTTGAATTTGAGCAATTTTGGTATCATTGGATCTATCTCATTGAGCCGGTCACTTTGATTGTAAGTTTGCTAAAATTTGAGCTATGGAAGATTTTAATCAAAGCCTGAAAATTATTTACTCAAAATTTATGTCAAATGATAAATTTGTTGATGTTGTATCATTATCAATATTGGCCCCCACTTTCGTCAAAAGAAAGATTTTTAATATAATCCAATGCTATGTACCAAGAGCTCAATCAACCATATGATAATTGCATGAGAATCGTCTGAAAGGCAAGAAAGGCCATCAATGGTGCACAAAGCAGTTGCCTCATTCGAATCATTAGCTCTAATATCACTTAGTTATAAGAAAAAACAACAATCTATGGATCTAAATTGAGCTCAATTCATCAATAGACGAACACTTACTCATCTAAAATTTAAGCCAATTAGGAACGGCTATCTAAAAACTCTTATTTTTCTTTTTATTTAAGCTTTTCAAGTTTATATATATATAT